GCAAATTTTCACGTGCAGTATCTTGGTTTCTGGGACCCCTTCAGATTACTATTGGAAGAGTAGGCTCCAGGAAGTCAATGCGCCTTCAGCCAAGGCCCAGAATAATGTTCACAGAGCAACCAGAACCCATCCTGGAGCCTAAAGCAGAGCCTCCCCAGCTGACCTGAAAACAGGAAAAACAAATGCTTACTATTGTAAACTTCTGAGAGTCAGGGTGGTTTAAGGGTCCTTACTGAAGCAAGAGCTGGCTAATGTCCCCTTGGAGAATTTGAATCGAAGGAATAGTGATCTGAATTATATTTTTAAAAGATCACTGTTACAGTTGTTTAGAGAGTAGAAGGAAGAAAGACAAGAGAGGAAATAGAACAGTTCAGAAACCGCTGCAAAATCCCAGTGAGAAATGGTGGCTGCTCAGACCAGGGTAGGAGTGATGGAGTTGAAAGGATTTGCTGATGGCTGGGATGTGAGGCATGAAACAGAGAAAGTAGTGCTATAACATCGCCTTACAGCAGTTTCGTCATCCAGCTTGTAATTTTACCTATCCACCAGCCCAGCCTATGTTTCTGAGCATAAAAATCAGCATATAAAGAGTGTTTTTGTCAACTGCCATATATCCAGGGACACAGTTACTATAGCAGCTGAGCAATTCTCTTTGGGTAGCCAGGTGGAAACCAAATTGTCTTGAAGAATACTAGAGCTGAACAGGGAAATTTTTCTCTAATACCACATGACAAACTTGATAATTGCCTTTGTTTTTAACAAGAATATCTAAATCAGGTACATAATTATCTTTTTCTGAAATAAGCTCTGTTTCCATCTTGCAGTATGTAGTAAGGGTTTTAATAGAGGTTGCTGTTTCTGGAGCTTACTCTGTCACACATGAGGGCATCTCCCTCCTCAACTGAATGGGTGCTGGTCTTTAGAGTCCCGTGATGGCTCAGGCCAAGGTATACTTCTCATTTTGAACCCTGGATTTTGTTTCAAATCTCTACATTCTCTCATAACCTATGAAACCATCAGACAATCCTCAAGCCTCAGGGTCTACCTGGTCTCCCTCTTGCCATTCTTTCTTCAAGCTTAGAGCCAAACTAAGCCTGGGAGTCTGATCGTCACTCTCTTTCATATATGGTTAACTCACTAAAGCCAAGATTTCCTACTGAGACAAACTGTATCCTGCTCAGAAACTCTTGTGTAGTGTTCTGGACATGTAAACTGATACAGCCATTGTGGAAAACAGTACAGAAGTTCCACAAAAAGTTAAAAATAGAGCTACTCAGCAGTCACACTTCTGAATATATATCCAAAAGAAATGAAATCAGTATCTCAAAGAGATACCTGCACTCCCGTGTTTTTTGGAAGCAGTATTCACAACAGCCGAGATACGGAATCACCCTAAGCGTCTACATGTGGTGAATGGATAAAGAAAGTGTGTATATGGAATATTATTCAGCCTTTAAACGGAAAGAAATCTTGCCATTTGGGATGACATGGATGAACTTGGAGTACATCTTGCTAAATGACACCAGTCAGGTACAGAAAGACAGATGCTGCCTGACCTCACTTATATGTGGAAACTAAAAGAGCCGAACTCATAGAAGCAGCGAGTAGAATGCTGGGTGCCAGAGGTTGGGGAATAGGGGAAATGGAGAGATATTGGTCAAAAGGGTTTCAGTTATGCAGGACGGAAAAGTTTTGGAGCTCTAATATATGGCATAGTGATTATAGTTAACACTGTATCGTATACTGAAACTTGCAAAGAGGGTAGACCTTAAATATTTTTACCACAAAACAAACAAACAAACAAAATGATAACTATGTAAGGTGATGGATATATAGCTTCATTGTGGTAATCATTTTAAAATGTGCATGCATGCTAAGTCGCTTCAGTTGTGTCTGACTCTTTGCGACCCCGTGGACTATAGACCTCCAGGCTCCTCTGTCTGTGGGGTTTTCTCAGCAAGAATACTGAAGTGGGTTGCCATTTCCTTCTCCAGGGGATCTGCCTGACCAAAGGATTAAACCTACATCCCCTGTGTCTCCTGAATTGACAGGCCGATTCTTTACCACTGAGCCACCTGGGAAACCACAAAGCCATTAGTCGGATAACAAAAGAAGAAAATCAGCCTCCAGGATTCTTACATTAATAATCTCCTCACTTCTCATTAAAGCCTTAGTCTGCAACTGCCATGATCTAGGTGACACATTACCTTATACTGCAGCCCACCCATCAACTGCACACATACAGAACCATCTTTGTTCCTTTACCTTACTGTGTCCACGATGGCCCTTGATAGGTATTTGTTTTCCTCTTCTCTGGGAGATACAAATGAGAAGGGACAAGCAAGTGCCTCCACTTTGATGAACTCATTATTACTATTTTTGATATTCACCATATAGCATAGTAAATTAGATTCTTTTACTATCATCAAGGCTGTATTTTGTTCCCCTGCTTATTTAACTTATATGCAGAGTGCATCATGCAAAATGCCAGGCTGGATGAAGCACAAGCTGGAATCAAGATTGCTGGGAAAAATATCAATAACCTCAGATATGTAGATCACACCACCCTTATGGCAGAAAGTGAAGAAGAACTAAAGAGCCTCTTGATGAAAGTGAAAGAGGAGAGTGAAAGAGTTGTCTTAAAACTCAACATTCAGAAAACTAAGATCATGGCATCCGGTCCCATCACTTCATGGTAAATAGATGGGGAAACAGTGGAAACAGTGACAGACTTTATTTTGGGGGGCTCTGAAATCACTGCAGATGGTGACTGCAGCCATGAAATTAAAAGACACTTGCTCCTTGAAAGAAAAACTATGACTGACCTAGACAGCATATTAAAAAGCAGAAACATTACTTTGCCAACAGAAGTCCATTTAGTCAAAACTATGGTTTTTCCAGTAGTCATATATGGATATGAGAGCTGGACTATAAATAAAGCTGAGTGCCAAGGAATTGATGCTTTTGAATTATGATGTTGGAGAAGACTCTTGAGAGTCCCTTGGACTGCAAGGAGATCCAACCAGTCCATCCTAAAGGAAATCAATCCTGAATATGCATTGGAAAGACTGATGCTGAAGTTGAAACTCCAATACTTTGGCCACCTGATGTGAAGAACTGACTCATTTGAAAAGACCCTGATGCTGGGAAAAATTGAAGGTAGGAGGAGAAGGGGACAACAGAGGATGAGATGGTTGGATGGCATCACCATCTCAATAGACATGAGTTTGAGTAAGCTCTGGGAGTTGGTGATGGACCGGGAAGGCTGGCATGCTGCAGTCCATGGGGCTGCAAAGAGTTGGACACGACTGAATGACTGAACTGAACTGAAGTATTGTACCTATGACATTCAGGGTCAAATTTTTAAAGTGCCTAATGTCCACCTGCCAGCCACAGAGGGAGCTGGTCTGGTAGATCATAGTGAAAAACTAGCCTGTAAAGCTCATGGCATTGACGTGAAAAATCATTGCAAACATTCATTAAACTCATTAAAGTCCTAAGAAACTCAAGAGTACTCAAAATAAATTGCATTTTGGCACAAAGAGTTTAAGTAGAAATCTCACAGGAAAAGAGTTTAGAATTGCTTGCAGTCTGTAGGAGGGTTACATTTCCTGCATTTTAAGAAGAAATCTCGCAAATGTTCAAGAGAGATTTATTGTCTGTGGTTTCCATGCAGCCAGGAAGCGATAGGTAAATAAGATGCCTTACTGCTGAGAAAGCTGTTACTTGTTTTTCTCTCCTTGCTCAGTATGAACATGCTATCACAGTACAATTAAATCCACATTTGGAGATACTAAGCAGACACAAAAGCTGCATGATGCAATCACACTCCGCAGGGAGACTATTCTTCTTGCTACATTCCTCATGACTCTCTTTTCCTTCCTGCTCAGGGAAACATGTACCACTTAGCCTCTTCCATTGATTAAAGGTCATAGAGGACAGGTGGCCCTAAACGAATCCAGATAAAATAAAGGACTAATGTCATAGGTTTTCAAAACAGCATCATACTCTTTAGAAACAATATCATTAAGACAGCCTTTCAAAAACCCATTATTGCTGGATCTTAGATGGGAGAGAAGGGAGAAATTCTTCAGCATCTTCTGAGAAATTCAAACTACATTTCTCTAATACTCTCTTGAGATAAACATTTGAGGAGTCAGGAAACGTAGTTAAGTTCCACTGTTATTTCCCATAAGACCTTGAACAAGTCCCATTCTTGACCTTGTGTATCCATTGCTTCCATGGTGATCAGTGGTGTTTCTGTTCCTGCTCACTGAGAGAGCCAGAGTGAAGGAGAGGCAAAGAGGTGCCAATACCTTTCACCTTAATTTTCCTACTGATTCACCATATGGAATTGAGTACACTATGGCTAGACAGCATAGAAGCAGATAAAGGCTTCTATTTCAGAAAATAAGAGATAAATGCTTCGTAAATTTGTTTAAACACTTAAAATCAATATAGATTTTTGGAAAAATGTTTTTAAAACATACAAAATATGTACTTGATCTCTATCTCTAACCACCTATTAGACATTTCTTCCAGTGGGTCCCTCAGAATCTCTGTCTTGACATGTTCAAAACCAAACCTTGTATTTTTTCTCCATGAACAAAGTCTTCCTTCTAAATTCCCTAACCCAACATTTGTTTCCCTTGGCCAGTCCCAAACTCCAACATCGTCCTGTACCCATGTCTCCCCTGTCTATATTATCTAATCAGTCAATAAGTCATAGAAATCTTGCCTGTAATAATCTCTCAAATTTGTTCTTTTTTTTTTCATTTAACCATCACTGCTATACCTTTATAATCTTCTTGTGGGTTATAAAGAAACCTCCTGAATAAATTCGTTGCTGCCGGTCTCTCATTCCTCACCAATCCATCTAGTACACCTGCCAGAATTACCTTGCTGAAACCCTTATCTGATAATGTCATTCAAATTAAAAACTGACTTGTTGCCTATAAGATAAGCTCAAAGTCAATTCAACATCTTTTTTTAAATTTTAGTCTCTACTATTACAAGCCTTGCGGTCTACTAAATATGATGAATGCAAAGATGAAAAGGCATGGACTCTTAAGGTACCCACAGTGAACTTCCAGGAGAGTCAGATGTACTGATAACTACTCACAAGGCAATGCGATATGTGCCACCACAGAATCACATGTAAGGTATGGAAATATCATAGAGAGGCTTCAGCGTGGAAGATATCTGAGCTTGGGATGGGTGTGCCAAGTAAGTGAAATGGAATAGAGAGAGTCCATAAGAATGAAACTGCGCTCCAGAACTTGTTGCAATTATTTTTATTGGTGGGAATACTGATATCAAGAACTAAGACAGAGAACAGTGGAATATGAATAGTTCTTGATGGAATACGAACAGTATATGGTAGGGAGATGGTGGTAATGGTGTGGCAAGAAGACAGAATGTGATTAAGACATGAGAAGAGTGAATGAGGGGAAGGTGTTTAGGTTGAAATGTCCAAGTGCAGGTCTCAGTTCAGGGGAGAAGTTGGGGCCAGAAACAGAGTCGCTAAAACCACAGAAAATAGGGTAAGTCTTCTAGAAAAAGGACATAATGTCCTAAGAGATTTGGGGGACTTGGAGTATAACCCACTCAAAAAAATTATGATGAAGCCTTTGAAAGTAAGATAAAACTCACAGAAGAGTGATGTCAGAATATCTGGAAGAAAATAATGACTCAAAAATAACACTGATTAATACAGTTCCATTCTGACTGCACAGTCCAACCACAGCCTACACTCTCAGCCTCACTCATTCCTGCCACTTCACTTTTTACCAATCTGCTCTGGCTCTAGGAATAACAGGAATGTAAATACTAGAAGCTGTCTCTGATGTGCATGTATAATGTGGAAGACACGACTTTATGTGCTTTGGTATTTTAGCATACTTAATCCTCACGTTCTGTGAAATAAGTACTATCACGAACTACCCCCATTTCCCAGAAGAAATGAGGACTAAGTGGGATTTCTCTGAGACTACACAGATGGTCATGCAGCATAGCTAGGGCTTAAACTCAGACATACTTTAGCAATACTAGATTATTTGCCAATCCCAAACATAACTAAATGTCTTTCTGTCTTCCTGATTTTATATTTGCCTGAAATTAACTTTCTGTACCCATTCTGTCTGGTGAAATCACATTCCCCCTTAGAAATACAATTCAAATGTTACCCCTGCAATGAAGCCTTTCCCTCTACCACCTTTTTTCCAGACAGAATTGCCATCTCCTTGCTCTGCCTTCGCATTAATATTTTGTTCACACTTTTATTATAATATACGCAGAATGAACCTCCAAGGATGCTCATGCTTTAATCCCTAGACCCGTGAATATCTTACACTATATGGCAAAAGAGACTGCAGATAAACTTACAGACCTTAAAGAGGTTATCTTGGATTCTGCATATGGGCACACTCTAATCATGGGAGCCCTTAAAGCAAAGCTCTTTCTCTAGCTAGAGTTCAGAGATGCGTGAGAAAGAGGAAGTCAGAGATTGAAACCTTGAGAAGGACTTGGTCCATCATTGCTGAAAGGGGCTACATGGGAAAGAACTGTAGGCAACTCAAGGAGCAAAGAGTGGCCCTTGAATGACAGCCAGCAAAAAAAAAAAAAAAAACAATAAGCAGAGACATTTCTATAAACACAGGGAGTATATTCAGCCAACAATCTGAATAAGCTTGCAAGCAGATTTTCCCCTAGAGCTGCTAGTAAGGAATGCAGCTGAGCTGAAAGCTTCATTTTAGTCTTGTGAAATCGTGGACAAAGAACTCAGCTGAGCTCACCTGGACTTCTGACCTAAAGAAACTGTGAAAAAACAAATTGTGTTACTATTAAATTTATGGTAATTTATTTGGGCAGCAATAGAAAATGAATGCAACATACTAGATAATCTTCCAGTTAGTTTTTTATGCATTGACTGTAATTATTAGAGGTTCAGCTCATTGAGTCAAGGAGTCTTGTGTCATCTATCTGTGAGGCTTAGGATTATGACTAACTCAAGAATCCATGCAGTCAAGTGGAATGCGTTGACTGGAAGATCTTTAGATTCACCATCTCTGCCTCATAATGGACATAAGGGACATTGTGGCTTATTTGTTCTTAGTTCCACCTGAACATGAGCGCTTCATCCTCTGTTCTTGGAAGAGCATCTCCTTAGCAGCAGGGCCACAGAACGAACATACTGAGCCTCCAAGAACTGCAGATATTTTGCCCAAGGGCTACTTCAACAAACTGAAATACTTTGTTGTAAAAAGATTTCTGTAATCTAGGCCCAATTACATGCCCCATAACTTGCCCATTCCTGGGTCTGCCTGATAGCTGGTTCCCATGCTGTCTTTTAGTATAGGAGTTGGGTTCATAAACATGGATTCTCTTGTCCAGGTGGGCCTGCCAAAAGCTGCAGCCCAAGCAGTTGACCTTGCAGCCCTCAACTTGAGGTCATTCCCTGACCCCACCTCAATGGTGACCTTACAGGGAAGACTGCCTCCAAGGTTTCTGCTTAAAGAGTTCTTCTAGGTCAGAAACTGCTCTTTTGGGGAGTAACATGCACCTTCCTCCTTTCTCTGGAAATATGATGCTTAAATGGCTGCGAAAAAGCATGATTTGCAGGTTAAAGAAATAAACCACATTGACTTAATAATATTAAATTTTTTTCTTTTATATGGTCTAAGAATTCTTTGGAATTTAAATCTTTCAGTACCAAATAAAAATTCTAACTGCTTTCATTTACTGGACTTCTACGTGTGCCTTATTCCTCATGTGAGAATGGAAGACAATAACTATGCTATGGAAGGAAGGAATCAGTTAACAGATTAAAAGCTCTTGGAACCAGCAATTCCACTTTGGGGAATTATATCAACCTCAAAGCATCAGCTAATAAAAATATATGAATAAGGATGTTTAGTGCCACATTGTGGAGGCAAAAATAAAACTGGAAACAACACAAATACCTATCCACTGTGTGTTATTACATAAATATGGCACATACGCATTATGAAACATTATGCATTTGTTTCAGATATCTCTTGGGTATCATCTCACATCCTCTCAGTTCACATTTTACTCTAGCTGTTGCTGTAGTAACCAGCTGCTCAGAGGTATAATTGACAGCACTTTCTTTCAGCTGCATCACATATTTCTCGCTTTGTGTCCAGACTCCTTATCATCAACACTTGAGACATTTGTAGGAATGCAGCCATTCCAATACAGGTGAAAACTTGAAGTCAAAGAGGGCACGGGGCGTATCCTGACCACAGGGGAGCCGGAACCAGTCTCCACGTGGTTTCTCCTTTGACCCTTCAGCAAACAACTATGACATGTGTTCCACACTGCTCCTTAGAAATCTCACTTTCCCACAGTTCTGATCTGGTTGAAAACAAACCACTGGCTGACTTGTCCTCCTTCCCTGTTTCGTTCTTTCCAGTCCTCCACTCCTGATCCTCGGGATTACTTTCCAGAATAAACTGCCTGCAGGCAAGCTCTTGTTCCAGACTTTTGGGAGGTAACCCAGGTTAAAACAGTTAGCTATGTTAAAAAGGAGAAATATATTTGTTGACCTGGAAGGCTGTCCATAGCACATTGTTAAGCAAAGAAAAACAAATTGCAGCTTAATGTCCATAATGTCTTTTATAAAAACAATCAATACTAAAGTGTGTGTGTTTCCATAGCCTTAGAAAAAGGTTAAAAAATGCATATGAACTTATTTGCCCTGGTCTCCTCAGGGAAGTGGAAGGAAATTGTTAGCTTGTCCTTATTAATTTTTTTATCATTTCACTAGTTACAGTGAACAGATATTAATTTTACAATTTAAAACACTTATAAAAGAAAAAGATGTTAAAAATTAGCATCAAGTCAACATCCCAGGAAAAAGCACTGCAAACCAGGTGATAAGAAAGAAAAATAACCGTACTATCAGACTTCAGCTGAACTACAGACTCTATCATAAGCCCCTAAACAAACAAACAAAAAAATAATGATTTCTTACTTGAGACTGTCATTGTAAAACACATACCAGAAAGTATACTCACGGAGCCAGCACACTGGCTGTGACAGAGACACTCCAGAGACTCCTGAGTGAAGGATGAGCCACTCAATAAGGACTCAGGATGATTAATAGATAAACAGATTCATGTCCATTCCTGTAGCATTTCCAACGGTGTATGTAATAGGGACTCTGTTGAAGAATGAGAACACTTATTCTCAAGAAAAAACCTGATCGGGAAAGAAAAAAGATTTTGCAAAAGAAATTTTAAAATGACGGCAATGCTTACATCACATGTGATATAAACCTCTTGTCTTGGAGGTCTCTGAACTTTCTGTATAGAAGTAAGCAGTCAGATTTCACACAAGATAATACAGAAAATTAAAATCTAATCTGAACAAATTTCCGTTAGCTCCATTTGCTTGTATTCCTTGGTGGATTCATTATGAATTACTTTAAAGGGACAAACATTAATTGTATGTATGCATGCGTTTTAAGGAAGATGCTTTTGAATTCCTCCCCAGAAAGCTAGACTTCAGATTCAATCTGGTCCCACTAGTTAAATATACTAGAAGAGAGGAAAAAATATTTTAAAATCATATGAGACAAAAGAATGAAAAAAGTGTACCCTGAAAGACATACTCTGTCAATAAATAGTTGACTTCCAGTGTACAATTATAGGTACATTTTTCTATGCTACTAAATAAGTGGATCAAGTAGGCAAACCCTGTGATACAAAGGTTAAGGTGATTTACTACTGTGATGGATAATTTTATGTGTCAACTTAACTGGGCCACAGTGTACAGATAATTGTTTGTTGTAGAGTAAATGTTCATGCCCCACCCCATCCAAAATCCATATGCTAAATCCTGCCCCTGACATAATGGTATTAAGAGGTAAGACCTTTGAGAGGTAATTTGGTTCATTGAGGTTACGGGAATGGAGCTTCTATGTTGGGGTTAGTGCCCTAATAAGAGGAAGAAGGGGCTTCCCAGGTGATTCACTGATAAAGAATCCACCTGCCAATGCAGGAGATGCAAGATACATGGGTTCTATCCCTGGATTGGGAAGACCTCTTGGAGGAGGGCATGGCAACGCACTCCAGTATTCTTGCCTGGAAAATTCCATGGGCAGAGGAGCCTGGTGGGCTATGGTCCATGGGGTCTCAGCTCACACACACATACAAGAGGAAGAAGAGATTCATCACTGTCTCTGGCTCCCTCTCCCAAAAAGGTCAAAATAAGCAAGAAAGCAGCTAACTGCAAACCTAAAATAGGGCCTTTACCAGACACTGACTTTGGACTTTCCAGCCTCCAAAACAATGAGAAATAAATTTCTGTTATTTAAGCCACCAGTCTATGGTGTTTCGTTATAACAACATGAATGAACTGAGATATCAGTCAAACATTATTCTAGATGTTTCTGTGAGGTTGCTATTAGATAAAATTAGCATTTAAATTGGTGGACTTTGAGTAAAGCAGATTGCCTTCCATAATGTGGGTGGGTTGTATCCCATCACTTG